CTACGTTATTTTCCATTAGCCTCCTTTATCCCACCAAAAACGTTTCTCAGGATTTTCCTTTCACACGTTTTTTACCTTCAACACTGCGTTTAATGATCCTACTGCTTTGCTACCTTTCAACAACCGCTTATATACTTCTCTCTCTTCGCCTCCTCTATTTGTAACTGGTACTCCAAGGTACTCAAATTCTGTTACCTTCTCAAATTTATACTCCGCTTCATTCGTTCTTAGAGTGATCCATTTATTTTCTTCTGCATTTTCTCCTCTCATTTCCATATATTTGGTTTTTTTCTTGATTTATAGCCAGGCCATATTTTCTAGCTTCTTCCTCAAATTTTGTAAACATTTTTCGAAGTTTGATTCTTGAATGTGTCAGAAATACCAAGTCATCTGCGAAACTTATGCATTGTTGTGTTTTATTAAGAACTATGCCGCTTGTGTGGATCTTGGCTCTTCTAATTATTTTTTCTAGTACTAGGTTCACAGGGGATTTTCCCAGTTTGAAAAAGGGCTGACTTTTTAGCTTATAAACATTTATAACAACTTTGACATTTTTTATGTCACACGCTTGTAAGTGGACTCAATAAAAAACTGGCGAAAAAACACACTTTCCATAACAACAAACAAAAGCTTCTATGACCAATAGCAAACAAGTCATATTTTCATTATTTATTAACATTAAGAGCTGAATATTGAACAGGTTATACACAAAGATCTAAATTTTACGATCCATTTTATAGATGGTATATACCGACAAGAAGTAAAAAGTTATAACCCGTTAAAGTAATGGTACTCATAAAATACCGCTATCGAAAAGTGGAGGGGAGAACTGTCCACTGTAATATCTCGGTTTGTTTCTTGTTATTGGTCATAGAAGGTTCTATTTTTTTGAAAAGTGTTTTTCTTCAGTCAAAGTTAAAAATATAGAAATGTTTAGAAACTACAAAGTTGCATATTGTCAAACTGTTTTTTAATAATAAATTTAATGAAATGTTGGAAGGTTCTTTAATATATCTTAAAAATGAAACCCCAAAAAATCTATTGCGATTTAGAAAATGCCACTAGAGTGACTGCTTGGCCAAGTACACTTGTTTAAATAATAATTGCTCTCCCGGACAGATAAATTAAATAACTTCTAAAGTATTTAGGTAGAAGTTAGTTTCTGTAAAAGTTTGGCACACTTTAATGACTCATTAACTACCATAATTTTAAGTAGTTATATTACATGACATTATGCAAAAACTAAGTTATTAAAATTTATAAATTATTAAAGAAAAATAAGGGTTTTTGTAATTATCTCGGTCAATTGTGTATGCATGTTAATTTGGAAACTCTTAAAATAAAAAACTTTTTATGATCTACAACTTTTATTTAAACCATTTTTATCTAGAATGTATAAGAAACGTTTTATGGATCAAAAATATTTTTACTGTTTAAAAAAAAAAACAAATAAAATCAGCTGTAAGTCTTCACGGATTTTTCATCAGCTACATCTCAATTACCTTTTAGAACCTTCAAATATCTGTAAAATATTTTTCCAGTTTTTTTTTCTTCCTTGACTAGAATAATAACCAAAACAATTTCCTAGCATTTAGAACGTCGATACGGAGAATAATTTGCAATTTTATACTGTTGTTTGACAAATTTCTGAGTGGAGTGTGGCTCGAACTCGATAGCTACTATTCGTACACCAATTCACAATCAAATGAACTGTGTGCTGAGTTTTAGCGTCGACTAATATTACGTTTTTAAGTTTCATAAAGTTTGAAAACAAAAATCCTACAATTACAAAATTTTAACATCCAGCTTTATTGTAACATCCTTTGATTGTTTGACATAAATATTTGAGGTGATGATCTGTTACCAAAATGTCATATTAAAAGACGAAGCCGCTAAAAAATACCAACATTGATATTGACCATTATTTTAAAAAAACAGTACATTGCTTCAATATCATTATGAGCAAGACACGTAAAGTTAAACTGCCAAAAAATAATTGACATCAAAACAATATTTATCATTGGGTTTTCTGCATTTTGAGAACTATTTTCGGGCTGAAAGTCGAAACGTTAATAACATTTATAATTTTAGCTACAATTATTGCAAGTAGAAGAAATCACATTAAGTAACAGAAATCGACGACAAAAAATACTTACTAGGTGGCCCAAAGTTCAAAAATTGGGATTTGCCCATCATGTCAAAACACTAAAAGGGTTAACTTCAGATATTTGATTTTTTTCAGGGCAACGTTTGTGATAGTGTTGGCGAAGGGGCAACAGCGAGCGAATTTAAAATATAACCAATTTGAAAGTAATTATTATAAATTAAAGAATTTGGTTTTCATTATTGATTTGAGTTTTCAGTTTAATAAAAAGGAGCGTCAATTTTATTAAAGTTTATTTTTTAACTCTACTTTCATTTTGGAGTTACACTTATGACACTGATTATCGTTGACTTTTAGTAAGTAACTAAAAAAATATATAACCTGTATGTATAGACCTGTATTTTTTTAAATAAAGGAGTTATAATAACAATTAAGTCATCAAAACTAATGTATACCTATATTTAAATGGTTTAATTTTTTTTTATAATATTTTCTATAATATATCTATTATACAGGGTGGTTCTTAAGTAATTGTACAAAAAGAAACAGTAGATTCTACACTTTAAAATATTAAAATTTAAGCAAAATTGCTTTAATAAAATGTTGATATTCAGAAAGATACAGGGTGTTAAAGTGTAAAATTTAAAATTTTATTTTTTGCTATAACTTCCATGTTTTTAAACATTTATGTATAAAAATTTACAGCTGGGTACGTTTAAATATGAGAAATTATAATTTGATGTACACTTTAATGTAGCTTATAGAGGGCCCACGCATAAATTGCACTTAACTTTTTTGCTCATTACGTTACCTGTATTTATGACAAAAAATATTAAAGATACATTATTTTAACAAAAAAAAGGTATACTTGGAAATAACTTCAAAACTCAACAGTTTTCGAGATAATCGCATTTTACAAATCAGCTGTACAATTCTGATTTAAGGCAATAACTCCAGGCAACGAAGAAAAATTAGACAAAAACATCAATACTTCTGAATTTTGGTATAAAATACCTTTAATAAAGTTAATAGTTAACGAAATACTAAATAAAATAAATATATCAGCAGGATAGTTAATAGTAGGATTTGTCAAAATAGCAGAATATTAATTGGATTTTACATAAAACATTTTGTATTAAATTAAAGTCATAATCAAAATATTTTATCTATAAACCAAATTAAGAAATAATTAAGCTAAATAACATTAAACTTTTTGTCAAAGTAAGTGTTCGATATGTCCACCATTTTCTTTAATTCATTTGTCAATATATTCCATAAAAGATCGTCTCATATTAATTAGCATCATTGGTTCTAAAGAAACTGCTGCAGTATGTATTTCTTCCCATACGTGGTTGCGAATGTTTATGGATTCTTATAGACACGATATTTTAATGCGTCCCATACACCAAAATCAAAGGATTAAATTTTGGGCTACGTGGTGGCTATAATGTATAATGGATGAATATATTCTTTTGGATACGTATCTAAATCTTATGGTATATTATGGAATTACATCTTATTTATCGCAGAGGTTAAATAATGTATTAAACTGTGATGTATGTCGTTTATTGGTTACTTATATACATACGGAATAATCTATCAATGACATTACTTATTTATATGATTACGTTACAGCTTACAAGTAACTATAATTATTTCATCTCGAACAAATGGACTATTATGATTTACTAACGAACTAATATTATGCCGAACTAAATTGCCTTTGTGTTTACTATATTTACAACAATATCGGTTATTAGGCCAAGGTTAGGTTAGATTTGTAGCAAACGTATTACAAAACAAGACATATGTGTTATTCAATACTTGTGCTCTACTTTCTAATTGTCCTAATAAAAATGGGTACACAATTTACGTAATGAATAATAAGTATTCTTCTAGGATTTTTTATGAATCAATTAAATATATCAATATACTACCACATTGCCAAGGAGAATGACTACCACGATCAATCCAACGTTCAAAAAAGTTGTATTAAGTATGTTCTCACTGCCTTCTCTCTAGAATGTGGTGGTGTAACATCTTTCATAAACCACATATTTAGGGTTTTTAGCATTTTACAATAGAGAAAAAGTAATACAACGCCAGTATAGAAACTTAAGAAGCGATAGAACACGGAAATTGTAAACATGATGACGACCAACGTCTGAATACACGGCACCTAAAGAGGAAGAAAAAGAATATTTTCTCCAATAAGACATTTAGCAGCCACAACAAAGCATTTTGTGATGTTACATTATCATCTTTGAATTGTTTTAATAAGAATAAACTATAAATTATGCTTATCTACAGGTATTCAATGCTTTACCGCACAAATATCACAACTAAGAATTATTATACAGCTGACTTATAAAATGCGATTATCTCTAAAACGGTTAAATTTTGAGACTATTAACAAGAATACCTTTTCTTTGTAAAAATAATGTATCGTTAATAATTTTTAAGACAAATAGAGCTAACTTAAAGGGCAAACAAGTTAGGCGCAAATTTAGCACCCTTTATCAGTTACATTAAAGTATGTATGAAATTTTAATTTAACCTACAAAAGCATCCAATTGTAAATTTTTGTCTAAAAATATTTACAAACAAAAGTTATAGCAAAAAATTTTAATTTTAAATTTGCACTTTAACACCCTGTATCTTTTTTAATATCAACATTTTATTAAAGCAAGTTGGCTTAAATCGTAATATTTTAAAATGCAGAATCTATGGTTTCTGTTTGTACAATTACTTAATAACCACCCTGTATATAAAATATTTTAATGTACATGACATACATTTTTGAAATAAAACATTAAATTTTAGTACTGTGATATCAATTTTAACGGATTACAGATATTTTTTTGCAGAGGGACATAATACATGATTGGTAACTTACTTGTAGATCAGAAGTCGAAAGAGCTTCTTCTGAAAAGTTCCTCCTTTCATTGTGCTTATCGTGATCATGAACTGATGGAAATTTAAAACTAAACTTCTTTTTAGTTGGTGAAGCTGGTGTAGTAGGAACAGGAGCTGACATTGATCTACAATATAAACTCATTTTTGAACATGTACAGTAAAGATATACATATATATATATATATATATATATATATATATATATATATATATATATATATATATATATATATATATAAAGTCATATTTTTCTACTTATATTCCAAGAGTCACTGTTCAGGCCAACGAGAGATTCAGTTTATCGTAAAGAGAAGATATTCCAAGAGTCATTTTTCACTCAGGCCAACGAGAGATTCAGTTTAACGAGAAGAGAAAAGGCTAGCATAATTTGAACGATTCGTGCATTTGAAGATCATTAAGGACGATAAACCTGCAACAATTTGTTGTAAGATTGCTGATTACCTAGGGGGCTGCTAAGAGTAGATAGTAAGGAACAAGGATTTGGACCACTCATCATCAGAGAGAGATAGTTTGGTTTTCTGCAGTTTTTTCTTTCATTGATAACACAATTTTTACAATTACTTTGGAAAAGATATAAATATTTTAATTAGGACATTTAGAATAATAATTGGGATTTTAAGAGTTTAACTAATATTGTTTGTACCATTAATTTTGAAGGTTCACGTACGTAGAACAAAATTTTGAGAATCATTATATGAGATATTGTTTATTGAAAACATTTGAGTGGGATTTTTAGTTCATTATTTTTATTTCAATATATACTGTTAGATCCTATATGTTTTTTTATTTATCCGGCATTTTTTGGACCTTACCTTTCACATGTAATAGCATAGATATTGAAGCACGAATAGAACCCTGAGATAAGAGAATTAAAAAGTGTGATATAATCATAGTCATATCATTTAAATAATTTTAATTAATTAATTAGCTAATTAATTGCTTGGCGCACTAAGATTTTGAATATCACAATATATATATATATATATATATATATATATATATATATATATATATATATATATATATATATATATATATATATACACAGATTGAACGAATTTAAAACGGATCATACAATTTAGTATATGTCTGTTTGAACTGCATTTGAAATAGTGGACCAATATAAAACTTGGACAAAAATAAATCCATACCTGGGTATAGACGTTGTATAAAATATCGTTCAACTATCTGTCTCGCAACAATGATGTTTGCGTAAAGGAAGCGATAATAGTTTAGGAAATGAAGCTCGAAAAAAGTTAAAACTTCGCAATTTTTTCGTCCTGCATGGATTGAGTTGAAATTTTAACAGAAGGTAAATGATAGCACCAAGGATCAAAATCTATATCGAACCGAAGTGCGCCGAAGGGATTTAGGGGTGAAAACTACCCCTAATTGTCAAAAATTATAAAATAACATATTAAACCTGAATATGGGTAAGATTTGGTTTAAATTAGTTAAATAATGATTATTTTATACTTTTGAATAGAGTTCCATCATATTTCAACCCTTAAAAAGCAACCCTTGTTAGAGATTAATGTGAAAAAATTACTAATTCGAAAAAAATGATTTCGCCTTTGATCGATTTGGATAAAAATTTGGATTTAAGCTCAATTCACCCACTGCTTTATAGTTTATGTTATGTCGACGAACCCTGATTATTCTTAGGGGTGAAAACTACCCCTAATTGTCAAAAATTATAAAATAACATATTAAATCTGAATATGGGTAAAATTTGGTTTGAATTAATTAAATAATGATAGTTTCGTGCTTTTGAATAAAGTTCCATCATATTTCAACCCTTAAAAAGCGACCCTTGTTAAAGATTAATGTAAAAAAAGTAGTAATGCGAAGAAAATGATTTCGCCTTGGAACGATTTGCATAAAAATTTGGAATTAAGCTCAACTCACCCTCTGCTTTATGGTTTATGTCATGCCGAGGAACCCTGATTGTTCTTAGGGGTGAAAACTACCCCTAATTTTTAAAAATTGTAAAATAACATTACAAATCTTAAGATGAGTGAAATTTGGTTTGGATTAGTTAAATAGTGATTTTTTATACTTTAAAATACAATTTCATACATTTTCAACCCTTAAAAATCAATTGTTATGAGTGCTATAGGTGGAAACAAATATTTGCCAAAATTTTGAAACTTTTCAACTTTTGAAAATCACCCTTTACAACATTGCAGTTTGTATAAACTAATTTAATAGATATAAATTGAAAAAAGTAGAATTAAATACAAAAAAATTTATCAACATAAAAAGGCACCATATATTCTTATACATTTACATAAATAGTTGAAAATATTTACATTTATAGGTAAAACAATTATATTATTAATTTTATTCGTCATCAATTACATCTTCATCGTGATCTATGTAATCCTCATCTTCTTCAATTATTGGTGGACTATTAGTGCACCCTTCACCTGAGCACCCAGAACAAGTAGAGTTACAGTATAAACCAACTTTTCTGCACCCACATGAAACGCCGCATCCTTTTTTGCATTGGCAAAAAATACTTTTCAAAAGTTCATCGGGTGCAGGTTGTTTGTTCATGCGTACGGGAATAACAAACCATCTTTGGAATATCATCCCCAATCTGATATTTTCATTGCCAAGCCATATACATATGAGCAGATGTTTTATTCTGTTGTATGCGATTTCAAAATAAGAAAGCTTAAAATTTCGAATGTATAACGCCCCACTACCTAATATACCGGTTTTGTAGATTATTATGCTCCGAAATGTACTGTACTATACTAATGGAATTTTCCGGAAAAAAAATTAACTGGTTTTTTTAACGTATTTCCTTCATTTTTAACAATAGAGTGTTTCTTCAACAACGATTTTGTAGAGGTTTTTAAGAGCTACAAGGATCTGTGAATTAAATCTTTTTGGAACCCTTGGTTTTTAAATGGGGTGAGTTTAAAGGGCTCGAAAAAGATGGTGCTTGATATCGTAAATGGATGCTTTAAACGGCTATATCTCGCCAAATATTCACTGTACAACAAATCTAAATAAAGGAAAATTTTAGTCATTAAAAAAGCTACAATTTAGTACATTTTTATTTTTTTCATATATTCAGTATTTTCGGGGATATTTAAAAAAAAGAAGGGTAAAAAATATGAAATTGTAAATCGTTTCTCGCTTTATGCTGTACTTTTTCTAAAACTAAGCATTTTAAATGGGTCAAACTTCTTGGACGTATTAACAATACATGTACAAAGAGAATTGCAAAAGGGTGAAGATCGATTTTAATTATGGGGTGGGATAGGGGGTTGTTTTCATCGATTTTTTCGTAAAAAAATGAGGTATTGACCTTATTTTAATCATAACTCACTCAATTTTTGAGCTAGTCTTTTTTTTATGAGAGGTCTATTTATGCTCTTTAAAAAAAGGTTCTGTGAGTTTTCTTCCAAAAATGCATCATTTTCCCGATATTTGACTTTGAATCTTTCAAATTTGGCATTTGAAGAAAACCGCTGAACATTGATAGGCCGTATTTCGGTTCCTGTTATATCGCAAAAACATTTTAAATAATGAATTGTATTTGTATTTTTAAAAGCTACAAATTTGTTCTCTACAATTTTTTTGATAAAATGCACCATCTTCGAGTTATTCGCGAAAAATCGATTAAAAACGTCGATATTTTCGTTTAAAAGTTGTTACTTTCAATCGCGAATAACTTAAAAAATATCAGTTTTACAAAAAAAATGTATAGAACATTTTTTGTTTAGAATCACTTTTTTAATCGAAACCTGTAGTTAAAACGTAAAAAAAATTTTCACCTCCGAGATGGGGTGGCAACCACCCCCAAGGCTTTGGCGCACTTTGGTTCGATATAGATTTTGATTCTTGGCTATTACCTACCTTCTGTTTCAAAAATTTCAAGTCAATCCACGCAGGAGGAAAAAATTGCGAGGTGAAATGCTTTATTTCCTGGACTATAAGTGGTTTGACAGCATAATAAAATCGTAGATTTACGTGTAGCTTTCAATTTTTATGATTTCAGAATCCAGCAGCCCGCTCAAATATTGGATTTTTATAATATAATAATATAATTATTTGACAACCTATTGTTGGTCAACCACCTACAGCAGAATTGAGCCGAAACCAAGATTATATTATTAATGATTATAGAATGTAATAATTTCAAATACCCAAGATGGGTATCAGAGATATGACACAGACATACTATATATGCAGGATTAAACATGCCGAAATATGAATGAATTAATACGTGGGTGCAATAACTGGAAACAATAGTATAAAGAATGTCTACATTGCAGAAAGTCTAGATCCGGCACTTCACAGTGTGAACATGAGAGAACTTGTTACAATAATTAGAGTGAATTTGATGAAAAGCGAGAATAATTTATTAAAGAAATGTTAAGTATCTATGTGTAAATGGGTATACTTATATATAAGATATACTATATATATATATATATATATATATATATATATATATATATATATATATATATATATATATATATATATATATATATATAAATGCCGAATGCTTATATTTATTGTTTGCAACCTATTCTTAACTTCGGTCTGTTTGCATCTAATTTCGTATAAGCGGAAACAGTATGTAATCAACACCTAAACTTCGAAATACGCTACAGAATGGTAAAGTGCTACATATGGTCTATCTTGCTTTATGGCATGGAAACGTGGACTTTGAAAAAAACATCTATCAACAAACTTGAAGCATTTGAAATGTGGTCATTGAGAAGAATGATGCGCATACCTTGGGTGGATAGAGTTCGAAACGATGACGTCCTTAATAGAGCCGGCGTGGAAAGAGAACTCTTTGAATTAATTAAAAAACGCAAGATTGGTTACCTTGGGCACATATTGAGAGGAGCAAAATATGAAATACCACAGTTAATCCTACAAGGGAAGATCGAAGGTAGGAGAGGAGCCGGCCGCAAACAATTATCCTGGTTAAGGAATATTAAAGAATGGACAGGAATACACAATACAGGTGAGCTGTGTCACGCCGCCAAGAACAGAATTCTAGTAATGAGATAGTCGCCTACGCACTTTGGTGTATGGCATGTTAAGAAGAAGAAGGAAATAGTCATCTACTAAAAAGCTTCACTTAAATCATCAATAATGGCGAAGATATTAACTGCCACTTATAATGAATGCAACTTGGATGAACAATTCTGAAGTACTGTAGATTTCATTAATGTATTTCTATAATATGTAGTATTTAATTTTATTTGAATAAGTGTTATCTCTGAGAGGTTGGTTTCTACGTTAAACAGTATATTTTCTAGTTTCGTGAATAAAAACAGATTAAAATATTTTCTAAAAATTACATTTTCTTTTGGCATAAGTTTTGATTGAATTTAAGACTTAATTTAAATATTCATTCAGACGTACTTAATGGTGTTAAAGACAATAGAAATTGTTGGTTGCCAATAATGTGAAAACTATTGCTAAAATAATTATGCATGATGCATGATAAAACACATTAAGGTAAATAGTAAAGACAGAGATATCTCTATAAATAATACTGAATCCATTGCAAAGCCTAATAAGAGATGTAAATATAACTAATTAGTGTAGAAGCCGAATTATTTACTTTCTTAATTGTTACATTTGAGTAAAAATTGCTTTTGGTCAAAAATGTACTTACCGAGATGTTATTTCATTTGCTATTGCAATAGCGGTATCTAAAGTTTTTTGATCATGTGCTGAAATTGGTTTCACCGTAGCTTGTTTCCTAGGTTTACTATTTAATTTTTCACGCAATTCATTACTCCTATTCGATCCTTCATGATCCAACGAATGGTTTTGAGTACCTAAGGAACTGAACATCATCTCCATTTCAGCCATTAAGGATGGACCCAAGTCTAAACTAGGACTATTAGTATTTTCTTCATCGCTGATTTCGTGATATTCATGGTCTTGCAGAGGAACTGGAGCCGATACTAGATCACCTTCAAGCAAAGGAGCAGCTTCTAAGTCTTTGTGAGGTCGGTAAGGAGCCACAACTTGTGTTGGCACTGTTCCATACTAGAAATAACATGGGCAAAATTTCAGAATTTAGATTTAAATCAATTTTATTAATTACATATTACTGTGAATTTAATTTTTTTTCATAATCAACAATAGGCAAAAGGTGATATAATAAAGAACCACTCACATTTCCTTTGGAGCCATCCATCCAACTGAGATCACCGAAATACGCTCCGTCTAAACCGACGTGGCCTGTATGTTTAAAATCACCCTGAGGAGCACTAATCATTTCACTACGTAGTTTTCTACGAGCTGAAGATCTTGTGCTGTCCGAACGTAAAAATGAGGAACTTGGGAGGTCGCTACCTAGATAAGCAACAACGTTGATTGGATCGAAAAGTCCAGTTTTACCGCTTGCTGTTGCCCCTTTCCAAAGAGGTTGATGAGTTCTAAATAAGGAAATAATAATTGTATTTATAGTAACATAAAGTTAAGATAATCCAAAACTGACTACTACCTTTGGTTAAATTTATTCGAGAAGGATCGAGATTGTGTACACTATTTTACCTGTTTGCTTGGTTTGTCGCTAGGGCGGCGCTGCTGTAGAGAAGGATGCTAGTATTACATTGAAGTGAATGTGTAAATTTCGAAAATAATTAATTATTCGTAGTTAATACAAGATTACTGGTTTTGGTGGTTAATATTATTTAGATATGAGTGAAAATAAACCTTACACCATATAAATTGCTTCATATCGGGATGAATAAAGGGTTATCGTTTTGATAAAAAATTGAAAAGGGAAGTTAACGAAGTTAATACAAGCTTTTTTAAAGAACCAAAAGTGGAGAATATACTTTTATTTTCATATTATTCTATATCCTAATATCCTATACTATTGCTTATTTTTACACTAGAAATAATTGTAAATTTTCATTGACTAAGTGAGTAAAATTGCATGATTTTTCAATTAACATCAATTTGTGGCTTATTTTTTGTTCTGACTTTAGTCTTGACATGAAACAATTTTAAGACAATATTATATTTATAGAATGTGACCTATTTCAGTTCCATAAAAGAAAATGTTTTGGATTTAACACGGAAACGCTACGACTTTTTTATGAAGATTTATCTTTATGTTATTTACAACGTTCAACGATTACACAAGCCGACATGATTTTTATTGTTGTGAGTTTGACATGTGACCTTAGCTAATACGGGTACGCTGATTCTGAATATAAATTCGGGGTAGGCCTATCACGTCAAAATTTTTCATGAAATTTAAAAAAACCTTGTGAGGTATTATGTACTAGCGCAAATAAACACGTTATTGATATTTCGTAAATTACATTAAAATTAGTGCTTTAAAATACTTGATAGATCGATACAAAATATTTTAATACATCATTATATTAATCTGGCGATCGATGGCACGCTAGCCCATTCTTTATAACTAACTTTGTTTTTGTTGTTTAATCCCATGCTAGCCATCATCTAAAAGATATTATTAAGAAGTTTTTCTTTTAAGAAGGGGCATTCTAGTGTTTTATATTTAATGTCTATATAATAATATAAATTCTGTTTTAAATTTTGAAGTACGTCCCTGGTTGTTTATCTCGTCAGTATGTATAAAAATTACCAAGAAATCTATGTTTGTCTTTTACAAAGAAATTTTAAAACGATCGATTATATAGCAAGTTTTTTATATTTCGGTGAAGAAGTTAAATGCATGTTGTAAATGTTGATATTCAGACTAGAATATCTCAAGTTTTTTTTGACGAGATAAGGCAAAAATATAGATGTTTTTGTCTCTGTTACAATGTCAGGTAGAAACTCCGGTTAAAATTAGGGACGTTTAAAAGAATCAATAACATACGTGTTGTTTATCTCGTAGTATGAAATTCCCCTATTCTCTGTATGTCTTGTGAGGTAAAAAATTTCCAGTTGTTATTTTTACCCAATTTAAAAGTAAATATTTTAACATGTTTTTGTCGTTGAAAACGAGGTCAAGAGGGGTATTTTGTTTGTTTAGGTTCTTCTTCTTCATGTACCATGTCCTTTCAGAACGTTGGTTACCATCATAGCTATTTTAATTTTATCCACTGCCACCCTAAATAGCATGCTTGTATCTACACCACACCAGTCTCGCAAGTTCTTCAACCATGAGGTTCATCTTCGTCCTGGACTGCGTTTGCCTGCTATTTTTCCTTGCATGATATTTTGTAGCAATCTATATTTGGGACCTCTCATTACATGTCCGAAATATTCCAGCTTTCTCTGCTTGATGCTTTTTATAATCTCAGTAGTCTTGCTGAGACGTTCTAGTAATGTGGAGTTACGAATCTACTCCACCCAGGAAACTTTTAAAATTCTTCTATAGCACCACATTTCGAAAGCCTCAAGGTGATTTAGATCGATTTTATTCAGAGTCCAGGACTCGACAGCATAAAGTAAGACCGAGAACACGTAGCAGCGAAGTAGGCGGATCCTTAATGCCAATTTTAGGTCTCTGTTACATAACACCTTAGACATCCTCCTAAAAGCAGCTCTAGCCTGCTCTATTCTGGATCTAATTTCGCCGTGATTTTCTGAATTACAATTTAATTGCTGTCCAAGGTAGACGATTAGGTTTAGGTTCGGTAGACCACAAACTAGCTCGGAGACGTGAAGGGAAATTTGAATTGCATTTAGTTGAAACTGAGAAGACGTTTTGCGGACTATCAGTAAAGCAAGAGCAGTGAGACTAGAGAGATGTTTAGGCGACTTTGAATCAACAGTCGATACATTTTTTTTGTGAAATGTCTTAAGATCGGTCAATATGATAATACTCTTTGCATAATAGCACCGAGAACAGAGTAATCATCGAAAGATTTATGCAGTGTACCGGAAACTAATGGAATTTTTGAGTATTGTGTAGGATGTCCCCGTCGTCTGCTTTGCTCCTCCACCAAACCTGAGTCGTTCCTGAGTATGGAAATGGTTTCCTGTGTTCCAGTTTGAGAATTTGTCCTTGCAGCTCCAATCCCAGAAATAGTAGCAAGTTTTTTTTTTAAGTTAAGTGACGAAATATGTGAAAATAAGGTAACAAATTTTTCCAAGTTATATAGACATTTGTAATAATTGCTTTCATTAAAAATTAAAAGAATTTGTAATAATTAAAGTTTTATATTATGTTAGAGTCGTAGCTAAAAAATGTCATAATTTATTCTGTCATAAAATGTAAAACAATTTTAATTTGATTATTGTATATAAAAGATATTTCATATATAAGGTTAAATTCTATGATATTTTAATAAACAAGGATATAATTAATTATAACATCCTAATTTGGACATATTAATTAATAAACTAGGAACCATTTCAAAATTTTTGTAGCAATCTCCTTTTGTAAACAGATAAGCACGTAAGTTTTTGTTAAATTTTGTATTATGTTATATAGTATGCTCTTGTGCAATCTGTATTTTTGATAACTGTTTGTTTGAGACAAAAATAAACGTTTGATTTATTTCTCTGGTCCATTTTTTTATTTTTATTTAGAAAGTCTCCTAAGCCTAGTATGTATTCTTGATTTTAGAGAAGAAGAAACTTTCTTTTTCCAACAGGAAGTTTTTCTTCGAAGCGGCGTCCCAATAAAGAAAATAGCTAGAGGTAAATCTTATCTGCCATATCTCGTTCGTTTTTTACCCAGGAGATTTATGTAAGTATCCCTTTGTTTTCATTTTGTAGATACCCCAATTCGACCCATTTATTTCAACTTATCCACGACCCAGCTCTCCAACAACCCCCTGAGTGCCGTACGCACTAGTTTCGATTATTTTGTTTGCCCAATCTTCTACCTCCATGTTCTTACCCTGAGGTAAGCAAAATAGTTCGTTACAAAGTAAATTATGCATAGTAAGATTATGTTATTCTAATTTGTATTTAATGCTAAAATTATGTCTTACACTTTGTATCCACATCCAATTAAAAAGGTAGGAAGATTATTGCTTAAAGATTACTATTGAATATTTTTATTTCCAATTGTCTCTTGTGAGTATGTGAACTTTCATGCACTTTACGTCGAAACTTTTCCAGATTTATTATTTTCATTACGACTGCCATAAATACATTTTTGAACAAATAAACGAAACTTTTTTGTATCCCTACTACATTAATGTTAAAGACTATCTTATTCCTTCTGCAGTAAATTTGTTCAGTTTGGACTTATAAAAACTAATATTTAAAACTATAGATATACTTCATAGTTTTGTCGAGTTTAAAATCCACGTCGAGTAGTATACATAGTAATTCAAGTAAATTAATTCAATTAGAACTGCAGGCAGTCAAGCATTTGACATTTATGAATTTTATTACCCTACTGACAAATAACTCCTCTATATACGTTATAAAAGTAACCAATAAATTTAATCGCGCTTTAGACTATTTTAATTTCTTTAAAATTCAAGTTAGGGTATGTGCCTAACCGCCCCAAACGATGCTTATTACAAGGCCTGTTTTAATTACGTTTTTTATGACTCGTTATAATGGTAACTACAATTTTAATTGAAAATAAGTTATATTTGACGTATCATTTCCAGCTCGGACATCGTTCTCAAAATATAAATTAAACAAATTATTTTGTAAAATTATAATTAGTTGGATATAGAAAAAAATCTTTTAACAGTTTAATTTTAATTAATGATAATAAGCCGAGATTCCCATTAAATATAGTAGTGTTTAAATCAAATTTGCTGAATTCTGTCTAGCAAAAGGACTAAAAATAATGTACTGTAAGATATTCAATTTTCCGCTGATAAAAAATTATCATTATTTTGTTTTGAAGAGTCGATACTAAATTAGAATGCCATATATTACTAAATTATTGGTATCATACTTACTTCTTATCTAGTACGGTTATCACATCTCCTACCCTGTAACTTAACATATGAGGTCCTTCATTGGAAGAAATCTTAGCCTGTACTTGTTCAGGTCTTGAATCCGCTAATATAGGCCCAATATCTGCAAATCGGGGTCTGCTTGCAGCTTCATGCCTCCAACAGTCTAACATGAGATTGTAGTGGTCAAGTGGACAACAATCTGGTTGTTCTAATCTGCAATCAAGAAAGCTACTTATTTTGGGTAGGTGTATCAGATCTGTAATTGTCTTAAGAAATAACATTTTTTATTATTAATTTAATTTTTTTGGCTGTCTAGAGATTAAATTAAAACTTCGAGAAAGTTTGAAATGTATTTCAAAAATAAGGAAAATTCTAGAACGCATAGAAGCTTTATACTACTGCCACTATATGTAAGCGTAGTTAGATGTACTAAGTAATACATATACAGATTGAACGATATAAATTCGGAACATACGAAATACATGTATATCGGCTCTACTTCGCTCTAGGTGCTTGACCAACAAAAGGTTGTCAAATAATTATATTATAAAAATCCAATACTTCAGCGGGCTGCTGGATTCTGAACTCGTTCAAAAACAAGTCAAAACTCCACCCAAAAAGGTTGCCCCCGCCCATCACGTATAATAATTGAAAGCTACACTTGTACATTTCAGCAGTGTTGCCAACCGGACAAAAATGTTCGTTATTTATTTATTTTTGTCACGTTTGATGAGAGAAATCACATGCCATGAAATTAGAGCAATAACGAATTTAATAACGACGTATTTCAGTTGAGTCAATTTATCTTGACCCGTGCGTTATGATTTAAAACATACGAAATCAGTCCGAAATTTACTCAACGCAACAGCAAGTGACAGAAAGTGGTTATGACAATCGGTGTGAATAAGGTATACTTTAAGGAAAATTAAGGGTAAACTAAAATACACTTACCATAAAATTTTCAACTGCAATATAAAGTTAGTTGTGAAAATAACTGTTTGTGTAATATAAATAATTCCAAAATGTAAAAAAAGGACAAAAAATAGCAAAAGAGTCAACAAACTGACAGCCACAAAAGTAAACAAACCAGAAACGTCAAAAATTGTACTTACAATCTGAAAACGTCCATATACGATATGATATATAAAAATAGATTTCCTTTAAGACAAATTTTTATTTATTGACTTAAAGAAGGCATCAAGCTGAGTACAAAATTAATTGATCGAATCCTAACATGCGATATCAATTTTCTCAGCTATTTAATATTCTGTTTTAAAAGATTCAAGAAAGTTATGTTTATGTAGATATGTAAATATCTTTTTTTTAAGTTTAAAATTTAAGTTTTGCTTTTAATACTAAAGCATGAAGAATCAAACCAAAGCTGGATTTTAGGAGGCCTGTTATATAGTTTCTGCAAATAAGGTAGTATTCAAATTCCTGCAGAATATAAAATAGTAGAATATATGTTACACCCAGTTAAGATACCTACTCACAGACAGGAACAGTAACAGTCGAATCATAATTTTGAAAGACAAAATCAGATTCCACTTTCAGACAACGATGGCGAAGTGACAGCATATATCGCTGTGTGAATAGCACAAAAACGACTTTGTGAAAAATATTGTGCTGGAGGGATCAAATCTGCATTTCCAACATATTTGTAAATCGTCGTAATTGTACTTACAAATTTCGCCATGACCGGTGATTCCGTAAGTACAGTTATGATGATTTTAAAAATATATAGAAAATGCAGTTTTGAGCCATCCAACACAATAAGATCATTTTTCAAAATTTTACAATTATGTGTTTATACTTCTGGAACAGCGATATATTGATTTCCAAGGACGTAGAAATTCTTTATGATATCAAGCTTATCTGTACTGCAGTTCTACAAGTACTACTTAGTACCAATCTATTTCACTTTGACTTAATGAACTTTGGGGGAATGATTAGTTTAGAGCACTCAACATAACCAAATATATTTTCTCTTTTTAAAGAACTTCTATAATAATTATTTTATTATAAATTTGAAATATTCTTTGAAACTGATGGAATATTTTAAATCTTGCAACAGCGGCATTTTTCGCCAAATCTATTGCGTACGAACCTAGGAGTGGATTAAAATTGGAACGAGTGAACCTACACAATATACTGTGGCTCAGTCAGTTATCAATGATCCACGGAAGGAGTATGTCGAAAAATTTATATGAAATACGTATTTTTACGTACCTATCACGTTTTATGCTGGAAAAATTATTTGTAACATCGATTTACAAATAATTCTTCTTAATAAAATAGGTTTGTAATTGCTTTTGCCGTAACGGTTTGGAAAATAAAAAATAAATTCGCAAAAAAAACAAAATATAAACTCTAACAGAATCTTAAAACTTACTTAAGTAAATCTTAAAAGAAACAAAACTTAATTTCTAAAAGAAACTTAAAAGTTAAAATTCTAAAAACAACTAAAAAAACCTATTTAGGCACAAAATTTAATAAAGTAAAGGTTCAAATAATCCACCTTGAACATCCGAACAATAGGTGAATCTATAATACAAAGAAGCTCTTGTATTTCTGAGTTGATCAGGCGTAACCTCGGCACAATGTTGGATAATTTTCGCCCTTAACTCCATTAAATTTTCGGCACGTTCAAAATTGTGCCGATAAATCTTTGATTTAAGAAACCCCCAAAAAAGAAATCATTTGGGGAGAAACCTGCTGATCTTGGAGGCCACTTGATTGGACCGTTTGTCGCAATTAACCGGTTTGGAAATGTCCTTTGGGAGATATTCGGTAACTGCCCTTGTATTATGACTGGGACATCCGTCATGCTGGTACCAAATATCTCCAAAATTCATATTAGGAAGTTGCTGAATAGCCGGAAGGATTTGATTTTGTACCAGTTCAAGGTATTTAGTGCCGTTCAGATTGCCCTTAATAACAAAAGGACCTATTACATAATCGCGTAAAATACCCGTCCAAACATTAAGTTTTTGTGGGTATTGTGTGCGCACAGGAATACTTAGATGTTTATTTTCCCGAGACCAATATCGAACAATGGATGGATTGTGTTTCCTGTGAAGAGAAAATGTCGATTCATCAGTAAATAAAATGTTCTTTAAAAAAATTGTCGTTAGCATTTTGCTTTTCCATCATCTCTTCACAGAATACCATTCGTCTAGTATTGTCCTCGGGAAAAAGTTCTTGAGTCGTTTGAACTTTATAGCAACGATATCCATTTCTTTTTAAAAAACCTCGAACAGCGTTTTTACTTAAGTTTACTTGTTCAGCAATTTCCCTGCTTGAACACGGCTGGCTGGCCTCAACAACAAAACAAACATCAACTTCATTATTTATACGTTGTTCACTCTTTTGACGAACAGGTGGTTCACCAAGATTGTTACACTTGTGGCAGTTTTGAATACATCCACATTTGCGAAATTTTTGAATTATTCTTTCAACTGTGGAAATCGAAGGAACCGGCCTATTCGCAAAACAAACAACGAATAAATTAACTATATCTCGAATCGAGGGACCTCCAAAATACCAAGTTAAAATTTGTATTTTTTCTTCAATTTTATACATTTTAATATATTTACGAAAATATTTTATTTTCACGCTACGGACTTACGCCTAGAATCACTGTGAAAACTAGACTAGATTTTATTATGCTGTCAAACCACTTATCGCTTCCTTAGACAAGCCCTTCTTTGAGCGGTGTTGCCAACCTCATTCCTCTAGCTGTTTCTCAAATAAGGTGTCAACTATAAAATATGTATTTACAGGAAAGAAAGGAAATAACTACATTAGGTTTATTTTTGTTATTAGTCTGTTGTAGTAGATTGATAAATACAATGAAAAATATAGGCAAATATCCGATTTATTTAAAGATACGAAGAAGATATAACTCTCAAAAAGATCCGCAAATCGGATTATTACACGGCGATTGGCAACATTGATTTTGAGCGGTGCTCTTACACTACGGTGCGTTCTAAAAGTAGGCAGATAGTTGAACGATATTTTATACAATGTCTATCACCGGATATGGATTTATTTTTGTCCAAGTTTTATATTGGTCGACTATTTCAAATGCAGACAGTTCAAGTTCAAATGCAGACACATGTTCAAACAGACATATATTAAATTGTATGATCCGTTTTAAATTCGTTCAATCTATATATATATATATATATATATATATATATATATATATATATATATATATATATATATATATATATAGCAGTCTTAAGTCCATGGCACGAATAAATCCATAGGCGTCGCTCTATAATATTATATATATATAAGTTATAGAGCGACGCCTATGGATTTATTCGTGCCATGGACTTAAGACTGCTGACATGGTTAAAGCATTGAACTCTAGAGTGCTGACGCTATATTTGCATAATATTGTGAATTGTATAATTGCAATTGTATATGTGTTATTTTAATTAATATTTTATTCAGTTTAGAATCTGATTTTATTGTAATTAGTCGTTTAGCTCTTAATAAATTCTTTTTTAAAAAAAGGACTTTTGGCATTCCCAAATTTGAGTGGCGCAGTCAGTAGCTAGGTCAAACGGGTTTAGCGAATATAAATTCGGTTCGTTTCAACGATTTATTGACCTTAATTCGGAAGTGTTATATTCCTGTGGATGGATTGAGTAGCCCTTTATAACAGGAATCGTGTTAAGTGGACTTTTCGAGTGAATATCGAAGATACCTGCCTAGTCAACCTTCTGAGTGAACCAGCTTACATGGAGTGGACAATTCTTCTCTGGTAAGTGCTTATGTCATATAGAGAGCCTAAAATTCTAATAAATTCTGATTCATCAGACTCAGATTCTGACTCAAAACTCCCTATTAAATATAATCTTTGTTCTAATTCATCCTTAATAAATAATCGTACTTTTAATTTAAATTCTTACTCAAAAAATAAAATAAAAATGGCAATCCCACAATTAAAAAAGGAATATCTTGATATGATTCCAGATTTCCACGGAGAAAATACATTACTTCCTAGATTCATGGAAATCTGTGAAACATTGATTAATAAATTTTATAATACAGTTGATTCAGATGATTTTCAGAATGAGTACTTAATGTCTAGCATATTAGCAAAAGTAAAAGGTGAAGCTGCTATTAACATTTCAGCATGTGTAGTTAGGACCTGGCAAGATCTTAAAGATGCCTTGCTAAATACATACGCTGATAAA